GGAACAAAAGCCATGCCTATTCCCTCCGTTAGCCATGTGGGAATATCCCATTGTCTCTGCCTATTCCCTCCATTAGCCGTGTGGGAATGTGCCGTTGTCTCAGCCTATGTCCCCTCGGCTCAGCCTATGTGACCCCCCTGCCATGCAGCCAAGAGGGAAACCCAGCACGGAGCCTGCAAGGCGCCCATGGCAGCACGGAAGTCTGCCTGGCGAAAATCTTTTTTGGCGATTCAAGTGCTGATACTGGAATTGGAATAGTGGGCATCACAAAAGTACTGGCTACATAGTAATAAAGGTGGTAAATGGCAGGCATTGGAGTGGGCATTAGAGCTGGTGGGTGGCACCTCCTCCATCCCAAAGCCCTGCTGCAACGAGCTGCACTGAGCTAGCCTCACAGACTAGCTCTGCACATTGGAGTGGGCATTAGAGCTGGTGGGCGGCAGCTCCTCCATCCCAAAGCCCTGCTGCAATGAGCTGCACTGAGCTGCAACGAGCTGCACTGAGCTGGCCTCACAGACTAGCTCTGCGGAGCTCCCAGCGGCTGCTCGCGCACTGCAGCCTGCAGGGCACCAGTGGCCTTGCTATCACTCTTGCTATTGTACTGCATTTTACCATGTTCTCATGCTGAAGAAAAGCAAATGTATCCTGTATCCATTATCCTCACAAGTGGCATAAAATAATACATCAAGAAAATCTTTCGATTAAAGTATAAGATTTTGGCAAAGCTATGCAGGAATGGATATGTGGTATATTTCAAGCTTCCTGGGATATTTTTTTCCATGTTCATTTCTTTGGAAGAGACAGAGCTCACCAGATGGACTAGAACCTACTAAAACTACTGCTGTCTCAGGAGCAGGGGGAGACTTGGCAGCAAAGTTGGCAATTACAGCATGTAAGAGCAGGAGGATGTTTTGTCTCAGATCACAAGAAACTTATTAGAGCTCTACTAGCTTGCTGCGTGCCTGTGTGGCAGGAGCACTGCCATGGGGGGTTGAAGAAGTGGTCATCAGTGGTCTGTGTTTGTCCCAGGTTACAACACTGCAATGCAAAGGACACACAGAATCAAGAAGGACGAACGTAGCTGTCCCAGCTGCAGCCGAAGCTACTGCAGGCTGTGATGCCCATGGCCATTTAGATGCCCCGTCTGCTCTCAGTCATGATGGCAGGTAAGGAGGCAGTTTAAGCTCATTTTTTTGGTCAATTGAAATTCAAATCAGAATTCCAGGAGAAAGATTCCCAGAAGATGCATGGGCCATGAGAATTACAGAATTCCTTATAATTTCATAAGGAAAAACTATGAGCAGCAGATGGATGAAAAATTGTCTGAAAGTTTTGCTGCCTCCTGCAGAAGACAATAGTCCTTCAAAGCTGGTGGTGAGCTGGTCAACATGTTCCATCTGTCTCACCTGAGCCCAGCTTCCAGAAAGAAGAAAAAAAACAGGAATGAAGATCCTGCTCATGACGGTGACTGATCCGCCACAGTGCGGTCATTCATTGGCCACATGGAGAAATACATCTACTGCTTTTCGTCCCTCAGCAATAGATCCTCCCACCATGACTAAGGAAAATCTCATGAGAATCAGTCTTGGACATTGATCAGGCTTTGATATACTTGCAGAATGACAACCGTTCTGCATCATCCTTACTGCTTTCCATGACTCCATCTTTGGCCACCTGTTCTTTTTGCATGATTCAAAGTAAAAGCAGAGCGGATAGAAAGCGTTGGGGAACATTTCCCCCCTGCGGCACTCAGAGGCCATCACAGCGCCTTCAACAACCTCTCTTTCACCAGTATTAATAGACTTTCTGGAAGTCTCAGGATGCCGAAGGAGAATAAGCAAGGATGTTACTGTTATGTACTCCTAATAATGGCATATGTGTGAAAAGAAGGAATTACATGCTTAAAGTTCACTGGATTTTGTTCCCCAGTTAAAAAAATCATACTTGGATATGGTATCATTTTTTTTCTTTCCTGACTCACCATCTTAGCTAAGGGCAAGCTGGCTTCACTCCCAGAAAGAGCAAAGATAGAACAACTGCTTTGATAGTATTGAAGCAGCCCTTGTGCCATAACCTGCGTAGCTGTGGGACATGCACTGCATCAGAGCACGTTTGAGTGTTTGTACAACTTTGCTTTTGTTTCTGGAAAAAGATCCTCCACTCTTTTGTTCTGGAAAAAGAATGGAGATATTGGCATTTCTTCTTCACCTCTGCATCAATTTTACATGATGAATCCAGCAGATAGTCAAAGCTCTAACACCCCCTTCCCCAGTCCTTGAACATAACTTAATGATGATTCTTACCAGTCATTTGCACAGTGCCCAGGATGAGAGGGGCTTTTCCAAGCTCCCAGGACAGCCCCTTCCTTGACGACCTCAGTTCAAATCCCAGTGTCAGAAGAAAAAAGGCCCTGAGCAGAGGGAGTCTGTGCTAGCGCCAGAGCTACTCGGGAAGGATTGCGCAAAGGGCCCGATGTGAAAATATGCAAACACTGGGGTGAGGCTGAGAGCGCTGGCACAGAGAGGACGAGGTGGCGTAAACCTGACAAAAAGGACTGTATCAGGATTACCAGAGTTATGTAAGGCTTTGCAGGTGAAGACAAGGATTGATTCAAGACTGCAGGGAAAGATTCCAGAAAGGGAATTACCTAAGAACATCAGCGTGGCCTTCCTGGGCAGTACAAAGGGACCCTTAGTCCATTATCCTGGGTCTGGCAAGGGCCAGAAATGGGCAGAGAGGGAGGAGAAAACAGAGCACAAGCACTTGTATAGTAACCCTCAACAGACTTCTCTTCCTCAAACTCTCTAGTTTGCTCCCAAGCACAGGTACAGACTTCATGTCCAGAGAATCTTTGACAGCTCAACTCCCTGTGGCATGAAGAGGCACCTCTTATTATTCTGACTGCACATCATGGCATCGACAGCCTCCAGTTCTTGTATGAGGGGAGAGAGTGAGAGACCCATCCCATCGCCCAGAGCCAGCCAGCGAGAGGAAGAGCTGTGTTATTCCTTCACATGTACTGCGGGCTGGCCCTGCCTGTTGGCCGCTTTTTCCTTTCTTGCATGGCTGGTACCGCTAGATTGCAGCTGCACAAACGCTGCTGCTTTTTACTTACATCTCCCAGTCTGTTCATGGTAAGGAGCAGAGCTGAAGCTTCTTGCAAGGAAGAATTTTGCTTGCTTTTACTGAGCCCATGTTATTGTGCAGATATATTCAGCTCCCTTGATTTCAGCAATACGCAGTCCATTTGCAACTGAACAAAACTTGACCTTAACATGTCTATACATCGGGTGCCAAAGCCAGCCAGCAGTCCAGAATAAATAATTGTGCAGACACACAGCAAAGGCAGGAACAACCTATTGCCTAAAGTGCATTCACAGGCATCACTGCAAATCAGCTGTTCTCAGCCACCTGGCATTAACTATGGCTGTTACACAGCTACAGTTTTATTGTACAATTAAATAACATTTCAGCCTCTGACAAATGAATGTTAGAAAAAGCTGTTTCAGAGGGTTGGTCGCAGCATGAAGCCAGCTCAAATCAGTGTGGGTTTTCTTTTGTATACCAGGATCTTTGGGCAACCTTTTGCTCCTTTTTGTATCCACAGCTTCATTTCATGTCAATTGATTACATTCTGAATTGATTTTTCAACCTTACTTTCAAATTTGCAATCGAGTTTCCTCTCTGCAAGAGATTTGGTGCTGTTCAGGGGCTGCAGGCATTAGTTATTATTGTTTTCCTCTAAAACTTTCGCCCTGGCCTTGCATCTTAATGTTCACCCAAGGAAGCTAAGAAAAGCAGGTTTTTTTTTTTTTCCCTTCAATCACTATAACATTTTTGGTTAAAACAGGCAAGTGTTTTTATTGAATAAAACAGTGTTATTAACACTAGATAGTAGCAGTTAACTTCTAAGGGTAAATTGGAAATGGTTTATGGGCACGGCAGGGAGCCGGTACTGGTGGGTGCCTGGGGCCGCTGCACTGCAGCTGCGGAGCGATGTGTGGGGCAGCCGGGAAGGGGCTCGAGTGGCAGAAAGCACAACCTGCCTCCCTCCTCCATAAGTGTTCCACTGGCTCAACTAGCACTACAAGGAAGAGTTAGTTGTGATTTCATCCCAGCTCACAGAATGACCAGAGCAGTGAGGGTGACAGCGGGTTTCATCTGCGCAGGACCCAACCCTGTCAGCTCCTCCAAACAGACTGGCAGCTGAGGGCACTCAGTAAGTAACATTCTTGTTAAAAAGCACTGCTTTCTTGCTTTATTAAAATCAAAACACTGCTGGGAATCACACTGATTTAGAAGGAGCTTTTGTCAGTTTTCTGAGGTGCTTTCTTTCGGTAAAGAGAGACCCGAAACAAAACACTGACTTTCTGATTTTCTTTCCAGAAGAGGCATTTCAGCACAACCATTCCACAAAAACAGGAGAGAAATTTTAATTTCAGATTCAGCATGCATTTATTGCTCCTTTGAAGGGAGATATTGAAAAGGCTGGGATCAAAAATGGGAGCACATCAGAGGCGCTATGAATTTGAATTCATCCGTTGGAAAATGCAGGGCGACCTACAGGTGTTGGATGCTGGTTATCACCTTCAGGTAAGTTTACTCAGATCACATTGAGTAAGGCTTAAATTTCTCCCTCTCTCAGTGAAAAATGAGATTTATCGTGAGATTTAAAATGTGATTTATCATACATACCACGAGCACGGCAGCAGCAGAGCGAGGACTTGCAATGAAACCTCTTGAGTCCTGGCCATTCCCTCCACAACTGCAAGTGTCCTGGAACTGTCTCGCAGGACAATGAAAACTAGCCACGGCAGCGCTGCATCCAGCACTTCCTTTGGAGGCCACCAGGAATACAGGGTGAGAGCCCCTTTCCTGCCCCTCTCTGCACTATCCTTCCCACCCACGAACACTTCGAGGCTGGGGCAGGTTCCCTTGCGAGAGCAGCTCCTGCCCCGTGCTCTGCGGCTGGCACAGAGGGGTCACCTGGAGCGCAGGTGTTTGGGGGCCACGGCTGAAGAAGGGACCGACGAGGATGTGCGTCATTCGGCTTCCACTCACAGGTGTCACCTGCAGGCCAGGCTGCCCATGTAGATCAACAGCCACTGGAAGGCAAGGCGAGGAATGAACTCAGCTTCCTTGGGGACCTGGAGCAGAGTGGAGCAAAGATTTCTAGACACGAGTCAAGGTTTTCTAAGTGTGTACAGTCCCCGGAGGGCTGTAATCAAGGACAACCTTTTATTTAGTGGGCCTAACTCCCATGTCACATCGAACACGTAACAACCTGACCTACAGGACACTTTCCAAGCTGGATACCATGTGTGTGAGAGAAGGCCTGTAGTTATCTACCAGCCATCTGCATATTTATAGCCTTTATTTATGGCTGTGTTATTGTTTGGTGGCCTTTTGTCTTTTTTTGGCAGTGACAATGACTTTTCTGCTGTACTATAAACCAGAAACTGTGTCCATGAGAGTATTCCAGGTCATTTTCACAGTACACTGGTCACAAACACTGGGCCGGCCGCTGGCCAGACCCTCTCTGCCGGCCTGTGGAGGGCAGATGTGCACGTCCTTAAAAATAGAAACCTCCTTCAAAGATGGGCCTGGGTCATAATTTTTCTCCCTGTACTCCATGGAGGAAGTGGGCAGAGTACAGATCCTCTTTGGGCTGGGTGCAGAGCGCTGAACAGTCATTTGCACCAGTACCTAATGCATTAATAGCTAAAAGAGAAAATAGCTCTTGGCCCAGGCTACTGGAGCTCCCAGAAAGTTACCTGGGAATGTAAGCAGTTTGACCATTTAATTTGTTTCTTTCTGGACTCGTTTTCCTCTGGAAAATAGGAGCCAACCAGATGACTTATTTTCCTGCTTTCTCTGGTCTCTTCTCTTGATCACTTCAGCTGGAGCAGTTATAATACGACTCTTATTCTGCTCATGTAGCTGCAGACTTCAATTTCTCCAAGTTCTGTGTTTTCCTAGCGGATGAAGAATGTCCAGAGCCAACCGCTCCCTGCAGACAAGGCCTGGGACCAAGGCAGCAACATAGACCCGGCAGCGGCTCTGAGCGCGTGTTCCTGCCTGTGGCCCGGGTGAGCACCTTGCCGTGCTCTGGGCCGCGGAGAAGGGCAGGTCACGGGGTGGGCCGCGGCGGCCCGGCTGCATGGAGGCCCCGCGCGGAGGGAGGAGGCTCTCAGGGCCGGTCTGCACGATGCTGAGTCCCACAGGCGGGAGAGGAAACAATAGATGAATCTATCACCTCATTCATTACGGTCATTTTTGCCCTTGACTCTGTTGATCTTTTCAAGGCAAATATCAAATAAAACCATTTGGGCCTTTCAGCTGTGGTGAAAGCAAACTTCCACAGATTTATGGCTTTAATCCTTAATTAAATTTTTCTTTTGTAGCTGCTCACTCACATGCAACATCCTTGGCTCCAGGGAAACTCAGAAGAAGGCAATAAATAGAACTTTGTTTTCCTGATGGGCAACGCTTCCCTCTGTCCTGGAGAGGGATCACTGATTTCTTCCCCGTTAGAAACAAGAAAGAAAACGAGGCCACACTGGCCATGACTGGAGCTAAGAGCCAGCAGGGTATCTCAGGCAGCTGGTGATGGTACTTTTATTCCTTCAGCTCAAGGTTTTCCAACTTGCTTTGACCCTTGGTCACCGGTGAGTCATGACCAGAAGCTGCTACGTGGCATTTGCTCAAGTGATGTATGTTCCCCTCAGCCAAGAGGTGCCCTCTGTGCAGAGGGTGCTGGCAAAGAAAGGGACCTGGGCACCTTCTCACGACACGAGGCATCTCCCGGCCGCAGCTACTCCCCTTAGGCCCAAGGATGAGCACGGTGATGCGGTCAGAGGACATTCGTAGAGCTGCTGCCCATGCTGTTTATTCTGCATTTCAGCTGGGTTCATTGTGTACATGCGTTAGAAGACAAACCCAAATGAAGTTCCAGCAAACTGTTTTGTCGCGATATCCAGAAAAGCTTGATACGACGAGCGTCGCAGTGACAGGAAGATGCACAAGCACCCTCTTCTTGTAAGCTGCTGAAGAACGGGATCTGCGACAGCCAGCTCCAAACACACTGAAAAACAGGAAAATGATATGAGGGGGATATTACATTTTGAAATCAATTCCACTTCTCAGGGTTCAGCATCATCGAAGACTGACCTTTTGTCAATTTCTGACACTTAACTCCTTACCCTATTTTTTTTAGAAACTTTCTTGAAATCATATCCCATTTTTAATGTGCTTTATCTTAAAAAACGCTCCAAATTTTATAGTAATACATTTTCTCATCACAGATTGGGTGAAATAATAAATGCAATTGAAAAGAACTTTGAAAAAATATTTTCAAATAAATTTTGGCAAGATATTCTACAACTACTAAAGAAGCATACTGAAAACTTTTCTAAGGCAAACACTATCTAAAACATTTGCAAAAAAAGATTTTTCACTGAAAAAAAATATGGAAAAGCAACAGTCATTTCTCATAAGAGCTATGTTTCCAGCGCCTTTTAATGTGACATAACAACTGAAAATGAGCAGAAAGATGTGAAAGAAGCAAATTGCTTCTGGCCTTCTACCCTCACCTGCTATCAGTTACATCTTAGGCATATTCACTTGGTGCCGGTTTTCTCCGTTGCTCTGGCATTATAGTGTCTTTTCACACTCCTGATTTCTAACTGTACTGCTCCAGGGCATGGAAATCTTTGCCACACAACTGATGCCCTTGCAGAGCCACCCAAAAT